TAATCTGTCGAGTTATCTCAATTAAAAAAGTTCATTTATCAAATAATACTTTATATATCTAAATATATTATACATTGCTGTAATCATTATAAACCCACAAACACATTAATGAGTAAAGTTTCGTATTCTAATAAATCAAACATTATGTACCGGAGTACTTAGAAAATAAAAAATTATGCATTCTTAGTAAAATTTAAATATGTGTCATTCAAATAAACTAGAAATTGTTAATGAAAGTGTAATGTGTAATTATTTATTAGTTTTGGAAGTTGTGAATGAAATACAAACTGAAAAATGAAATTATAAGTTGCCTCTCTCTCTTATATATTTTAACCATATAGTAACATATAATATTTTGTATTTTTTAACAAGTTAATATAATTTAAAATATATTAATTGAAATATTTTTATATAAATTTAATTTTTTTATGTATAAAAGATAATTCTAACTATAAAAGTTAAATATTTATAAATACGTTAAAACACTCTAAAAGTTCATTTATTATTTGATATTTTTCTATATAACCTATTGTATTATTTTTTTTTAGTATATGTTAACATTATACTCTTGGTGAAAGCGAAACTGCAGGAAAAAAGAATCTTTGTGCTCCATATGTAGAATGGATGAGAACCTTCAATATGTGTTATTTGATTGTGAAAAAGTTAAGGGTTGTTGGCAGATACTTGGGATCAACTGGCCAGAGGGTCAAATTAGTGACGTGTTTAGTTGGATAGAAGGGAAAGCCAAACTACTCAGGAAACAATGGGTCATGAAAATAATATGCCTCTTATGGCGGCTTTGGACATAACGAAATGAGTTTATGTGGCTAGGAAAAGTCTATGCAAACCAGACGTCTATCCATCTCGCGAACAAGATCTTATCCTGAGTGGAAACAAGCATAAGAGATTTAGACATATACTAAATGGTCAGCACCCCCACCAGGCGTTTGGAAGTGCAACGTGGATGGCACAATCTTCATGTTAGGAAAAGAGGTAGGATTCAAAGTAGTGTTGTTTGCCAAAATATAATTTATAAAAATAAATAATTACATTATTATATCTATTAAATAAATCTATAATTAATAATTAGACATATATTAATAAATATATTAAATAATATAATTCATATATTTATTTAATAAAATTTAACTATAGAAATAAAAATCTATTTAAAAGGCAATTAATCTTTTTTTATTATAAGCTTTGCTCAAAAGAACAACTTGCATGTTATTTTCATTGCTTGTTTTGCCTTTTTTTCACATGTTGTTTTGTCAGGTTTCTGGTCTTGTCTTTACTGATTTTACTAAAATGCCAAGAAATACAAACTAATTTATTTTTAAATAAGTTATAATTTTTTGTTTTATAAATATAAAATAAATATTTGTAATATGTAACTGGTCTTTGTAAATTACAATTGATAATTTTGGTAAGTAAATATATTGATCCTATGGTTCACGGATTTTTATTGATTTAATATTTTTTAAAATAAAAATATACTAACAATATTTTATCGGTAATGCTTATCTCAAAAATTAAACAATGATGATAAGTTAATTATATTAGAATATAAAAAGTACTGAACTTATATAAAATTTAATTTAAGTTTTGTTATTTAACTTTCAATAAAAAATTTTGTATATAATATCATCTTTTTTAATTTATAATTAAACTAATTAAATCTAAATGTCAACAAATTCTACTATAGTCGTCGTAGACACTGCCTTAAACTACAATTCAAAACACAAAAAATAAATCTTACTTACACCTGAAAAAAACAATTAATCTCCTTGAATTCAGCATGTTCAGATTCTGTTTAAATAAATTATTTAAAAAATCATATATTAATTCTCAATTAAAAATAATCTGACAAATGAATATTATTTTTATTTTCTGCAAAAAATCGTCGCCGTCAAAGGGCGCGAAGCTGATTTGGCTGGTGGTGAGATATGGGCCCTTGGATTTGAATATAATGCCAGAAGTGGGACCAACGCGGATCCTCAAAAGAGGAAAAGATTACGAGCTTGTCTAGGATTCGCTCCGTTTCTCGGCGGGCCCCACTCGCAAGGGGAGTGCCACCATGCCGAATTTGAAGAGCAAGGACCAAAGTCGTGGGTGGGTAATGAAATTACGAAAATACCCCCATGCTGAATCTCCGTATTTTGCACCACCTTGTTGCACTATCGTGGGGCATGGGTCATGTGGGCCATGTTTGAGTGCCTAATCTGCAACCATGTGGTTGTAAACATACGATCATTTTCATTTATGTTGAGAATTATTAAATATAATAATTAAATTAATATTCTTTTTTAAAAATTAAGAATATTATATTAAAATTTTAAGTACCCAACTAAAGAAATTATGAACTATTAACATAATAAATTTGTTGAAAATTTAAAACAATAGTTATAATCCCAATTAAATATTTCATACAAAAAAGAAAATTCAAAATAAACAGAGTCATGTTGGTAATCTGTGTACAACATTTTCTTCAAAATAAAAATAGTGTTCTAACTCAAAATTATTTTTATGTTCAGTTTGAATTATTATACTTTTTTTTTATTTATTCATTGACACAGTTAATTTAATTTAGTTATATACACTTTAGATGTAAATTACAATTTATTAGCTAATTAATTGAGCAATAATAAAATAAATTTAAACCGTGAGTAACGTTAACGTAAGAAAAAAATTCCTTAATTCTTTACATAGTACAAGTACAAATACTAATTAAACATGCATTACCCTTTTCTTATATTTTACATTTTAAAAAATACTGAAATTCCCAAATTTGGTCCTTGTAAAATGTAACTAAAACATTAGAATATTAACCAAAGCATGTGGTTTGGACCACCACAGCTGTAGAGTTTAGGTGATACGAGAATTACATAGGTGATGTGACACGTGGCAATCAACGATTGGGAGTCTGTTAACCACATTGATGTCTGAGTTTAATTAGGTGGGGTTATCTAAGTTTAAATGCGTAATTCATTATATTTGACAAAAAAAATAATTAATGAATAGGTTGGGGATGAGGCTGTTATAATGTGGCGGCACCTAAACCAATGTTTGGATCAATCTACCAAATTAACACAGCACAAATTGCATGATCATTAATCATGCAAAACAAATGGAAGCAAGCAAAATAAATAAATTTATTAAATTTTAACTACAAATTTAATCTGACGAGAAGTAAGTTTTTATTTGTACTGTAATAAATAAATTATTTTAAAATTAAATGCTTGGGGGGAGAAAACGGTCTTTTTGGTCAGATAGAGTAAAAGGGTAAAATTGTAAAATAATCCAACAAATGCTTGCGGACCAAGCAAATTTTTTTAAGGAAGGGGTAAAAAAGTAAAATTTGGATACAGGGGTAAGATCGTCCGAGTGGATTAATTGCCTCTTCCTACTAAAGTTGTCCCAAAACATGTGGTCGATTCAAAGTAAGACTACTTTTGTTCCCGAGAATATAATTCAAATACAATATCGGATAATTAATTTTGTTATGTCCAAATCAAATTAGAAATGAATTAATATATATTTTTTATTTTCTTATAGGTGTTTCAAACAATTTAAATTAATTTAATTATGTAGATTATTAATAAAACTAAAATTATTTAAACTAAATAAAATCATACATAATTATTTTATTGGTACTAAAAATTAAAAAAATTTATAACACTCTAATTTAATTACTTTAATTTTTTTGGTTGAATCTGAACCGTTAGATTATTAATAAATATGTCTGCCGAAAAGAATGTAATTTATTATTATGTCGGATGTGTCAGCAAAAGGGTGTAGAATAGGAGCTGTATGGTTATGAAGCCACCAAAATCGAATTTGGCCGAGATGATGAAATTCGGAGTAATTTAATTAGTTTTTATTTCAAATATTTGTGGTAGTTTGGCATGTAAATATATTGTGTACTTTTTGTTTTTATTTTTCATGATACAGATTTTTATACTAACGAAATTATTGAAATAGTATAATATATTATTAATTATTATGGAATTTTCCTCAATTTTAATTTATTTAATTTACATTAGTTTTTTTTTTTAAAAAAATACATTTCATAAAAAAGTTAAAAATTTATATAAGTTCATTTTATATATTAAGAAAGAAGTTATTTATATAAATCAAAGTGAATTAGACAATTGAATAATTTGAGATATCTCACGACATAAATTTTAGAGAAAAAATGTCTAATAATAAAATTTGTGATAAAGACACTACATGAATTTTATTATATTGCTTACGGTATACAATTAAGGAGCATATATAGCTAGAAAATAAATATTTTAAATATATAATAAACAATAGTATTATATTATTATAAGTATTATATAGTTTTAATTAAATAGTTAATAAAATTTTTAATTAAACAGCTAGTAAAATTTTACTAAGTCAATAAAATTCATATTTTAATTACCTTAAAGAATTTTAATTAGATTATTAATACAATTAAATTCAAAAGAAAGAATTAATTAATTAATTTTCATGTTTTTCTTTCTGATAATTATCATAAAGCGGAAACGTTTGCTAGGCCCAGCCCACTACATAAACCCTAATACTCTACCCCTACATTCACTTATCTCGTCTCAAAGGCGCTCTTCACTTAAACCCTAAGGTCCTTAGGCCCAGGGAGTCAACCATCTTCTTTCGTCTTCTTCAATCGGCTTCCCCCGAATCGTTTTCACCTCTGCTCTCATAGCTGCTGCAGCGCGGCGGTGTTTCGTTCTCCTCTTAATGCTTAATTCACCGATTTCTTCTGTCCTTTGACTGCAAATCCTGTTTATATATATTTGTACGCACACGAAATCAGATTTCTATTTGATTATTTGTCTTTTTCTTTTCTTTTAAATCTTGTTCGGTAGTTGACGGCTATTTAGCTTGTTTACTGCCAATTGTTTTCTCCTTGCTGCTCTTCTTTGTTAATCTGTTGCTGAATCAGTAGGGTTAGGTTCTATATGTTTGATTTGCTGTTTCTTTCCTTTTTGATTTATAGTGAGTTCTTCAATTCTTTTTGTTATACAGCATCCAACAAAGGTTATATATTTCACGTGCTAAGTTGAATCTGATCAACAGTCTTGATTCTTTGGAGATGTATTTTACATGTGAACATTGGCTCATAAACCTTTTGCTTTTTAAACCTACCTTCTTTATTATTGTTCTTGCTGATAGTGATTGTATGTTCTTTCTATTCTTTGTCCTGATTCATCTTTGTTTTTGTTGTAGTTATGGCCTAACTTTCCCTCTTTCCCTGCAGGAATTAGGATTATTTAATACTAGGGCAAAATGAGGTTGGAGAAATGTTGGTTTTGCTCTTCTACTGTATATCCTGGACATGGCATCCAGTTTGTTCGCAATGATGCAAAGGTAAATATGTGTAATTATTAATTTTCAATCGTAATCTGACATTTTTCAACTGCACACTTTTAGGCCCTTTCATACATCAAAGACATTTTCTAGTTTTTAATTTCTAACTTCATATATGTACACATGTTTGTTGAGGGAAATGCGCATGGTGGTGTGTGTTTGTGGAGTAATGTCTTATAGCAGTTGCAACAACTTTTTTAGTCTTAAATCTCATTTCATTTTCTCTTTCAGTTTACTACCATCTTTGTTTTGGCTCCACAGACACACATCCCCATGGATTCTTTCATGAATTTACAATTGTATAAGCATACGTGAATTTGAAAAAATGAAAACTAGCTTTGCCTTAGTTTTTGCTATAAACACAGTTGATATCAAGTTGGCTCTCATCTTGTGCTTCTAGATTGAAATTGTTAAGAAAGAGTATAGAAGCAGACCTAAACTTGACATTTATCCTCATTGTTATCCCGATGGTTGGTTGTAATTGGGGTTTGTTATTACTTAGATGTCTTTATCTGCTAATTGTTTGCATTAGAATGACCCAGCTGAAAGATTCCAAACTAATTCACGTGGGTGCCGGTTCATAGATTGTTAATTTGAAGGCAATATGATGTTTGATAAGTAGTACCGGGCAGCTGAACCTTTTTGTTTTGCAGATCTTTCGATTTTGTAGATCCAAATGCCATAAGAACTTTAAAATGAAGAGAAATCCTCGTAAAGTAAAATGGACAAAGGCCTACCGAAGAGTGCATGGGAAGGACATGACCCAGGTAAAAAGAATTTCCTTGACTGTAAATTCCCTCATGATTTTGTCAGTTATACGACTGTATCCTACTCCAACGAACATGAATAAATGCTGCGTACTTTTTCTCTATCTTGGTGGTTTTTTTTTTTCCTTCACAAGGATTCAACATTCGAGTTAGAAAGAAAGCGAAATAGGCCAGAGCGATATGACAGGAATGTTACAGAGAAAACCCTGAAGGCCATTAAGAAGATTGACAAAATCAGAATGGATAGGGAGGCCAGACACATAGAGAAGAGGTTTAGATTCACTCAGCTCGTGTGAATAGAAGCGTGTTATGAGATTTTTCTTTTATTCTTCAAAGTGATAACTTGTGTTGAAATTTTTGTGCAGGATGAAAGGCAAGAAACTGAAGGAGCACAAGGAGGCATTGAAGGAGTTGGAGCAAGGCATCCAATTGGTCAAAGCTCCTTCTGTGCTTCAACAAGATCCGTCGCTCACATTACCGAAGGTCAAAGTCAAGGTTTCTCAAGAGCAATCAGAGGAAAATCACGCAATGGAGGAGTGACTTTGTTAGTGAGATATACAAATGCGTTTGCTCTGCAATTTTTGGATATGATTGGGGTCTTGGTTGATTCCGAACAAGTAGTCATCATCTTGTCTTCTATGTTCTCTTTTTTGGTGTATTAATATTAATATGGTTTTGCTTCTTTGAATCCACGATTGTTGTCTTAGGGCGTTAAAAGTAGTTTATTTTAAGTTTTGTTAAAATTGATCAAATTTTAATGGTTAAAAATACATTGTTATGTTAAATAATATCGGCACATGGAATAACTAGTTTTACTTAATAGTGCTATTACATCCACATTCCCAAAGATGAGTGATACAAGAATTACACTGTTCTATGCAACAATATAATTACGTTGGCTTCTCAAAGTTCTAATGTTCAACTTATTACATTTGACAAAAATGATTATGAGAATTTTTAGAAGGCAAGTAAATGTTAGAGTAAAATTTTAAGTTTAAATTTTAAAAATGCAAAGTATTTTTAAATACAAAAATTATAATTTAGAAAATAGTTATACTGTTTTCACTAAATATATATTTATATATTTAAATGATAGCATTTTCTACATTATTTTTAACAAATATCAATAAGCTTTGACAAAAAGTTACTACTTTTAAAAAGCTACTATTTTTTAAACTAAAAATAAAATTACAGATACCTCAAATATCTATTTAAATATAAATTAAATATGGTTATTTGTAGATTTTGAACATTAATTTGTGCGAATTGATTTTATCTTTCATCTAAAAACTGAATTTGATTTGAAATGAACAAATGTAACCTTTGATAAAAGTATCTGCAAACTGATGGCAGAATAAGACATGTTATGTTATGTCTTAAGATATTTTCTCAAACGAAGTGGTAGTCTATTTCAATGTGTTTCATATGAGAATTGAAAATTAAGTTTACAATCATGTAAAAAATTGAAAAGTTGTTAAACAATAATAAAAAAAGGTTTGACATAAATATCTCCGAGGAAGGAAAGACAAGCACATGGCCTCTGCTGGCACGATCTCCTGCTTTAAATGTGGCGCAGACAATCAATTATCGATTGTTTCTTTATGCGCCAAACTAACAATATAGTTGCACCTAATAACCAAAAGATAGAGTGACAGATAATTTTGCTCTAAGAAATATAACGTACAGAGCTCTTACAAACTATGAACTAAAAGATGAATATCAAGAAACAAGTACAACATGGAAATGTTTCAAGTATAAGTTCAACATATTAAAATCAACTAAAACAGACTGACCAAGTCCTACAAAACCTATATACATTCATCTAAACAATTACAATTATAATATGTTGGTAAATGAAATATTCAATCAAGTAATGGAGAAATACTTTTAGGTTCCCATAAAGCTGCAAAACTATTTGAAATCAAAATAAGGTTTATCATAATTAGTAATTGTACTGCTTTTGATGATCATTAGCAGTACAATTACTAATATTATGATATGCAGCCAAAATGGAATTATACCATAAAACAAACAGAGGAACAATTTTGACCCAAGCTACTTAGCCAAAGTTAACAAGTACCAGCTTATTCTTAAAAAGCAACATATTAGCAGTCATGCCTTTCTTTCCTGCGTAAATGTGTACTTAAAATGAAGCGAACTTACAAGACGAAATAAAAACGGAGTGTTTTCTGCACCAATAGCTATATGTGCAACAAGATATTAGGTACCTCTTGAAATAACATTAGCCAACTATTTTAACTGTATGAAGGATATCAATTAACTATGATTTAGTCCCTATAAATCAGAGAAATATGAAAATGGATCAAATTATAACAAAAGAAATTTCAAGAGCACCACATAGTATAAATAATCATTTACTAATAAGTAGAATACTGACTCCTGATTGTGCAACAGAAACAGTACAAATTAACAAGTACATGAGATCATTATTTTAAGAACAAAAAGACACAAATAGAATAAAGACAGCTATTTTAAAGAAAAAAGGGGATAAAAGCGAAGAATAAGACTATTTGTGGGTAAAATCAAAATCACTACAACCAACATTTATGAAGATCTATTTATCAACAAAAAATCTCTAGTTAAGCACAAAATTTGTAGGATATTCATAGATCAAACCCTTTGTTAAGAGCAAACGTGATTATTATGAACTCCATCGAAAGTGGGCCATGCCAAATGACCTGCTTCTCAAGACAAAAATCCACCAAAATGGAAGTTCAAGCTATAAACTTCCGTTTCAACAATACACAAATTGCAGATACAAATACGAGATAACAACCCTATAAAATTCAGTAAGAGCGAAAACACTATTTTTAAGAAAGTACATGGAGTAAAATGATACTCACATGCCACACATCCGCACAGCTGCACTGGTCGCATGCTAACCAGCAACAGGAAGAAACCTTATTCGTTCCTTTTAATAACAAGTCTCTAGTAAACAATTGCAAAGGCAAATCCAATTATCTCTTTTACTATTTTCCAAGAAAGATAAGTTCTGCTATCAAATTAAATAAAGTATGGTTCGAAAACTTTAAATTTGTACGTCTCACTTAGAAAGGTTTGATCCCTGAGCCGATTTAGTGCATGAAGGAAAAGTTGGCAACATGAGTTTACACTGTTATCTGTAGCTTTTTAACTATCTTGTATACTACAAACATTAATTTTGTATAACTACAAATATTTTTTAAACAAAATAACAGCGAGAGAAATATTTTTCAAAAAAATACAGGGTACCATAATACTCACCTTCCACATAGAACATATTGTTTGTGTAGCTAGCAACTGGAAGAAACTCCATTCTTTCCACTTAAACAAGTCTCTAGTAAATACCTACAGCAAAGAAAAATTAGCAACATAATATTCACGCCGATTCGCCTAGCTTTGCAGTTGTCTTGCATATTAAATGTATCAATTTCTTTTAACCATAGATATCGTATAACAAAAAAAGATCTTACAAGTTCGAAGTTTGGTTGGACAACTATATTTTGGGTTCAATATACTTGAAAGGTTTAGTTCTTTTAAATAGTTTTTCTTGGTAAATTTATGAAGAACTAAATTAGAACAATAATTGGAATTAAGACAAATTCAGCATATAGTTATTCTCCAAGTATTTAAAGTAAAATATTCTGCTCTCTATCTTAATTCTTGAATTGCTGCTAGAATAAGATTTTAACTGAAAAATTTGAAAAAGTAAAACGTGTAAGTCTAAGAGATGGACTCACAGTGTCGAATTTTGGTGCAAAGTTGTATGTTCCAAAATAATGATAACTCAACGGCACTCTTCGTTGTAGCTCGGACATGCATGTATGCTAGCTCAACCAATTTCAAAATTTAGAATTTTCGGTATAACCCATCAGTGAACCAAGAAAAAAGATAATGGCACACTTAAGTAGAGACACAACCGTAAGTTGCACATGCTTTGGGCCTAAGTGGCAAAAGGAACTTTTGTTTTGAAACTTTTACTTGCGCATATCATTTAATTTAAAATGTAGAAGGGCCAAAAAAAACTTTTCTGATGGAAACTTGTGGAATCAGTGACCAAGATGACATCATTTTCCACCACAATATATACCTTTATTGTGTCACTTAATATAGAGGATGCAATAGAGAGAAACATAACACTCTTTCTTCTAAAAGTAACACATAATTGAGCATACAAGTTTGTAGTTTGTGGCGATAAGATATGAATGAAATAAAAAGCAAAAGTTCTCGCATAAACTGCCAGATACCGTAACCAAACCTACACATCTTTTGCCCGTGGCTCTAAAGGATTAGGAGAGTGGACATCCAAATCCCGAAGAGCAATAGTGTAAATATAATAACTTTTACTTTCTGATTGGCAAACTTTAAAGAGGAATCATGCCACCAGATTAGCTCCTACTTTGAAAGCCACACACAGAAACACGTTTTCGTTGAATCAAAAAACTCAACAGACATTTTTTAGAATTAGAACTTGACTGAGACATAAATTGCCTCAAGAAATTCAAAAAAAAAAAATTCTTATCCATCAAGGTAATTTATTTTAAGCATTAGACAAAGCACACTTTTGTGCTCCAAAATAATAAATCGAGACTCTCTTACTTTCCGAACCTGTACGCATTCCGTATGCGACACCATAAGCAAGTATTGTTAAACAAAAACAACAAAGAAACTTTGGAACAACACACCAAAAAGTAATAACTTGCAAACAAAAAACATCCATGCATACTTTTTTTGAGTTCTAACTACCCTAGCGATTGGAGGAATTTTACTTTTTCCCAAGAAATTGAAAAACCTTTGCCTAGACATCAAAGTACATTTGCTTTGAAACAATAAACTAATGCACTCTCATCTGGCAAACAACGAATTTAGGCACTTTACTGAAGAACGAAAGCGCATCAAGTTTATTAAATTGGCTTCAAAATCAAGAACGAAGAGCTTTCTCAAATAAAATGAATCATTCCTACAACCGAGCATTCTTGTCTTTCATCCGTAGTAATATATGATTGAGAATGGTCACTGCCAGCTCTATAAGAGAAAGGTTGCCATCACCAAAAAAAAGGGTGTCATCAAAGTAACTTTTAATTTCAACCAACATATTCTAAAAAATATTTACTTTCAACCAAAAGTTCAAACCACAACCTTTAGAGTTCGAACAACCCGAGGCATCAAAAAAATTTTACTTTGCTGCAGGAAATCCAAAATTATTTTTTTTTGCACCAAGGCATATTTATCTTTTAAAAAATAGATACAACACGCTTTCAATTTCTAAAAAATTACTTGAGATCCACTTACTTTTTCAACTGGTATATTTTTTATATGGAATACCTGTATATTTATTTTTAAAGCAAAAGATAAAAAAACTCTAAACCAACATACCAAAGAACAATTACTTTCATTTAAAAGATCAATGGACAATTTTTTTAGATGGAATTATCCAAGGGACCGGCAAAATCTTACTTGCCCCAAAAATTTGAGGAACA